GGTGCCTACTGCTCGCTTCACTCGATTTATTTCTCTTCAACCTATCTCCGGCTTATATATTAAAAAAGAGAGGGCGCCTAGAACAGACATGAGTTGCCAGGAAAAGTCAAGATCCTTCGAGAATCTCATGACGTGTTACCAGCGTCACGTGACTTCCGCTGTCGTAACAATAAACTCAGATCACAAAAATAAGTTCATATCACGCATTTCAATTTCTAACACAGGGATATCCCTTATAATTATTAGCATAGAGAAACAAAAGAATATGTATTAACTTGGGGAAGCAGAACTATCTAGAAAATTACATGCAACAAGTCATATCTTCAGCCATGCTAAGCAAGGTACCGCACTTTTTAACAGGTGAGAATTCACGAACACAAAGGCCAGTGATTAAAGCCGTTCATATAGCCTATGCAACAGTAAGTAATAAAATCAAGAAGGATATATATCTGGAAAAGCCACAAAAGTTGCTTATATAATAGATCTGTTCACCTGTCACATACCTTAAGCAGCTGGAAAACTAACAGTGTATTCATCCTTTTCCATGCAGAGACATACCAGTCAAGATGCTCGACATAGTGCCTATGGATTTCTATGCAGTCTGATTGTTGAAATGGGCTCTGGGAAATCATCTTTCCCATGTAATATATGGATTATGGAGAGTATACAGAGAGGAGAGGTGTACTTTGAAGATGACAACCTTATGCCGGAACTTCTGGCAATAGAAATTATTTTTCAGGTCTATTTCAAGATGCACTGTCATTGGAAAGAGCATGATTGGATATCGCGATAGAGCCTGAAATGGCGCAGTGAGGTTCCAAAAATAATTTTGATATAATTTACTCAGCATTTGTATAATGCTAGCAGACATATCATAGTAATTTGTAATTCGTTGCTATATGAGCAGGATATTGTTTTCTAAAGGAAATGTTTCAGTATGGAGTTTTACTGTATAGGATTATATGTATTAATGACATATACTTTTTGTTTGTTTCAGAATTTTCGCTCAAAGCTTCGCAAATGGCTAACTGTGCATACATTAGCTACTGACTGTGCTGACTTATCAACTAATGGATAAGTGTCGGCTCATTTTGTGAAATAGTCAATGGCCATGAGAATATACAGGTATCATCATTCCGTCTAAGGAAAAGATCCGGTGATATGCAGGGCTATTGTCTGTAGGGGAGAACTAACAATTCTCTGCTGGAGTTTATTATATTTAAGCCAGCTTTTTTCACTGGATGTCAAACATTTTGTTGTGTTGACCAGTATTAAATGCCTTGACTCGAATGTAGCCAATAGAACCATCTTTCAATGAAAGCACAAGTACTGGAGACAACTAGCTGTAACAAACACTTAGAACCACTGCTTGCTAGTTGATAACAATGGTACACAGAAGTGTGGCGTAGTAAATATTAGCCCCACAGAAAGATCACTGTGGTATGTAATCCTAATTCTAAACAATGATATTTATGATTATTTACATTCTCTTACCAAAGGAACTAACTAAGAACAGAACATTTGTACTACAATAAAAATGTCACAAACGTTCCTAAAAACGATGTACTTTTACTAGTTACGAAAGGGTAAAATATAGCAAATTTTCAACTTCTACAATAAATTTTTGTTAATTAAAAACACGTTAAAGAAAAAATAGACTGAGTTATTTTTATGAATTTAAATTTATCTTGTTAAGTACTTGGTTTGAAACAAACAAACAACAACAATAATAAAAAAACCACAAGCATATAAATCTCAGTGTATGACCTATTACGTATCTTCTTGTTTGTTAATTTTCGGTAGAAATTCTTTCCGAGGAACTTCAGCGATACAAGTCCTTTCTTGATTAAACCAGTTTATTTTTTCTCGATACAAACTTTTAGTACACAGTAATTCCACAGTCAGTATGTTTCTCGTCACTTTAAACTTAGCAATTTTTATAATTCACGCTATACATCACAGCGATTCACAATCTCGATAATTTTGCTCTCTACGAGTGCAAAACACGCACTAGCTCGAAACAGAATCGTAAATTACCCGAAACTCACCGTGACTATTGTTCGCTTAACCATCCATTCAATCCCGCAGGTCGGTCGGTTGCTGGCAGTTATTTAGATTTAAAAATAATTGTTTCTCGCAGGCTTTCATGCCAGGCTTATATACTAGCAAAGAGGCGTCTCTCGATCACACTCAAACTTCCTTGATAATTCGAGAAACTCAGTCACGCATGCGCTAACAGCGTCACGTTACTTCCGCTGTCGTAACAGATCTTTTTGCGTGAAACCCAGATTTCTTAGAAGCTGCGAGTTAATCAAACAGCGCATGCTCTGCGTATTTTTATTTAAGGTGTCCGTTAATTTGGTTGGTGCTTGTAGCTACAGAAACAAATCTAATTGATTCTTGAATTTGACACCTTTTTTGATATGATTTATTCAAAACAAACATGACATGAACAAACTTTCAGCTTTCCCATATGGAATGTGAACTTATTTTAACAATTATAAAACATCATCATAACCTCGCGCAAGTATGATTCGCTCACTTGACCAGCATTTCAGTTTTTCACTACCTGTGTCTATGCTGTTCATGACTTTTACGCTAGTTTAAATATTTAATGATGATATGTTTGTTTGTTGTAAGGTTCAAAGCTACACAATGGACTGTCTGTGCTCTGCCCCCACAGGTATCGAAATTCGAGTTTTAGAGTTATAAATCCTTTGGACATGCCGCTGAGCTAACGAGGGTATCATGATAGGATTTTATTATGAATGTTCATTTTCTTTTGTTACAGCAATTTTGATAATTCGAGGTCTCTAAAGAAGTTATTTAAAACCAGCTGGAATACCCGTCCCCTGGACGGAAGTTATGTTAATTCATGATTAATGAAAGGTTATCTTAGAACATGAAAAGCTGCTTCCCTTATATGTAATTGTAAAAAAAAACTGCAAAACACAAAATGTGAAATCGCAAGTTTGCATGTATCTCCGCATGGACTGAATGAGCTTCCATACCAAATTTGGTGAAGATCCATCTACAGGGGACGAAGTAGTAGCAAAAACGCCCATAAAAATCGCAAAACACAAAACTGAAAATTTGTATGTACCCCTGCATGAACCCAATTAACCTCCATACCAATTTTGGTAAAGATCCATCCACACCCTATGAAGTAGTTATATGGACACACAAGAGACAGTACTATTATATTGATATAGATTCCGAGTATCATACATCGCGTAACACTGTACACCTAATTGAGATTATCTTTTCACTTCTATAGCAAATTTGCAAGTGGTATATTTATTTATTTATTGTAAGTTTAGCTGAATATCTTATAATTTTTCAACGCACCCTGTTTTGTTCCTAAGGTATTTGTTTAGTGCGCAGGCGTACCGTTATACCCGCGAAAAGTGAGCGTTTAATAGTATCGGCAAAGAAATTCATTGAACTGAGGGCATAACGAGACAAGCGAACTTTGTTTTGGACTCATAAATATAAACGGTAAGCTAAAATACTTTAGTTAAAGAAAGCTTTTGTTGTTTATAAGTTATAGCCATTTTTCAGTGTACATTGAAACCAATGCGTTCTTTAGGAGTTATAATAATATCTAATGTTTTTATACATTTTATCACACCAAGAGTTGCAAATTACAATGTAAGTATAATTTTTACTTAGTTACTGATAGTAATACTAATACTATACAAAAAGTATAGTACTATTACTAGTATTAGTATTACTAGTACTACTAATAACTAAATATGTCTACAGTATTACTAAAATTAAAAACTAATTCGTAATTGTAGTTGTGCAAAATGTGCTTGTACGTTGTACATGTAATTTGGACAGTTACTATTTCAACTTCTCTATCTTCTGCAAGTCTAAGTCTAATACTGACCTGGAATTATTGATCAAAGAAATCCTCCACATCAAACAGCACTCTCCAACACTGAACAACATGCAGTCTTCATTTAAATTATACATTTTTTAATATGTTCGTATTACTGATTTTACTTTTTTTGTTGTGTTTTCTTCCTATAGTTTCTCCCCATTATTACTGTTTTGTATT